GGCATCATTTCAAGCTGTGCCTGTTGTCTGTTGATGATGTATTCAAGGTGACAAATAATCATAAGTGAAAATATAATTGTACATAAAATTTCTGAATGAAAGGCCAGCTGTTCAGTGTGTTTAAATATACATATTTTTGTTACTATATACAATCTTCTTGTAGTATGGGCGTGTGCTGCCAGACGTGAAAGCTCTAGGACATGCGTATCCTACTCTGCAAGGAAATGGTTTAATTCCGATATTTACAAAAAAGTCAGTCAAACGTGCAATGCTAACTGGTCATTTTTAGGCAATCAAAATTGAATACTGACACATGATTTGATTTGTGTCGGAGAATGCTCAACAAAGCAGTAACAGGAAACTGGAATAACCAGTTAACATAGACATGTTGATAAAGATGATTACATCTTTGGCAAAAAAAGAAGAAAAGAAAAGAAAAAAGAAAGAGAGAATATTTCAGGGAGATTTACTACTACATTATTGCTTGGTAATTAGTTGAAGCAGCCATGTCTATTAGTCAGTTAAAGCAGCGTTAGTAATTGCATCTATTATTAGTTGGCTGTCATGCACGAACAAACAGCTGAGCTAAAACAGGGTCATGTTGCGGTCAACTTTCAGATTCAGCTTTCTTTCAGTCTTGAAGTGATCATCTCAGATATGTACATATAGTTACACCCACGCACTCAGTGTGTGTGTGGGTATATATGTTAATGAGGCAGGTAAATTGGATGTGTTCTAGGAAAATGTGAAGCGAAACCTTCAAATTGTGAAGCCTACTAAGTACATTATTTACTTTTGAAAATGATGGAAATGCAATTTCATTTCGCATAACTTCATGTCCGTATTTTCCCTTTGTTGCACTGAGACAATGATTGTTTTATCTTACCGTAATCCTCATTACTTCATCACAAAAAATAACATGTGAAGGGAAAATACATCCTACCATATTAAAATCTAAACGTGACGAGATATGAAAGTAAAATTGATAATGACAAAAAATGATGATAAAACAAGAGACAATGGAATAATGAAAAATGGAACAGTAGACCTGGGAGACGACACTACCAGCGTCACTAGGAACAAAGGAACTAACTGTCTACAGGTGATCTATGGTGACCTAGGAACTACGGAATGGAACTATACAAGAAAAAAAACTATTCACAAAACAAAAGAGCACTGAGGTGAACTTGTTTTGTGCATAGTGTCTTCTTTCAGTCAGCTTCTCAACGCGAATGTTTTTTTTTTTTTTTTTTTCATTCGCTTCTGCTCGCGTCGAGAGGACTGAAGAGGCGGAAGGACAGAGTGTGGAAGGGCCGGCCTTTACCTTCAATCATAACCTTGACATCTTGGGGGTCAGTCAGGTAGTTGTGGGTTATATATGGCTTGTCGAAAGGACTGGCCGAGCGGAGGGTGATGTATCCTCGGGACTTGGGCCGCAGGAGCATAGGATACACCGACCAACTATCGCGGAAGGATATGGGCTTAAACATTTGCTGCCACACCTGCAAGAAAAGAGGGAGAGGCAAAGGGCGAGGGTGAGAATTAGTCGGGATGAGATTAGTGCCGCGGGTCTTCTGGTCGGGTCGTCAGGAGAGGAGTCGGGTCTGCTGTGGTGTGTGTGTGCTCGTGTCGGTGCGGCGTCTACAGGCAGGGTCTACGTGTTAGCAAGTCCTACGTCCGCGTGTGTTGTGTCCGCCACCGGGACCCTCCCTGACTCGCCGACCCGCGGGAGAAAGTGCTCGAGGTCTGAGGCAACGACTCTCATCCAAACAAGAAGAGAGAATGAAAAAAAAGAAGTGAGCTGAAGGGGCCACCGACCCTTGGCTAAAGCCCCGAGCACCGTTCCCTCCGCGGCCCTCCCTCCCTCCCTCCTGTCCCGTCGAGCTTCTGAGGTCGAGCGTCAGTCCCCGAGGGTGGCCTACCTTCCACCATCACGCGAATATCCTGTCCTTCGGGGTCGGTGTAGTAGTTGTGAACAATGATAGGTTTGTGGAAGGGACTGCTGCTCCGGAGGGCCACGTAGCCGCGACTCTTGGGCCTCAGCAGAGTCGGGAGGACGCTCCAGCAGTCGCGGAAGGAGAGATATTTGTACATCCCCTGCCATGTCTGTCAGGAGCAGTCAGTCACCACGTCAAGGTGGTCGTGAGTCACAAGGTCGAGCAAGGGAAACGAACCCGGAGAGATTGGCGTGAAGAAAAGGAGTCAAAAATACATTTCACTTTGGAAATTGAATAAAAGAGTGTGATGAGAAATATGTTTTTGTTTATGGTAATCAAAAATTACTTTTTAAATCATTATTTCAATTTTTTGGCATTGCAAGTTGACCATTTAACAACAAACTAAAAATTAAGACAAAAGAGAATGTCTCATGACATCTAATTAAAACTAAAATTGATCTAATATTTAACAAACTTGAGACCTCTCAGAGAAAAAAATTTAAAACATACATTCTTTAGAACAACAAAAAAGCTTTCTAAATAAAAGCAAATGTATAGAGAGAGAGACAATTAGATTGAAAAAGAAAACAGTCACTTGGCAGATTCGTCGAGGAAAACTTGGGTCAGGACGTCTCGAGAACACATGCAAAACAAGGTCATAAGAAAGCAATAATAACGTCAATAATAATTAGTGTTGTAAAAAATAATGAAAAAAAAATATTGGTAATAATAATGATAGCAATTGTCGATAACAAGCAGTATTATGAGAATGATGAAAAAGATTGTAATAATATTGAAAAAATATAGTGACGTTATTGCTAATGATACAAATAATAATAATAATTATGATAACAACAATGATAATAATAAAGGCAATGATAATAATAATAAGTAAAATAAATATAATGATAATACAATAATAAAATAAAGATAATAATAAAAATACTAATATAAATACTAACACTACTAATGATAATGAAAATCATGGTATTACTACTACTACTACTACTACGACTACTACTACTATTACTAACAATAATAATAATGATTATAACAATAAGGACAAGAATTAAAATGATAAGGATGATAAGATTCCCTATATTTATCATCTAACTGAAATGATGTAAAAACAACCAAAGAAAATAATAAATACAAAGTAAAAAATAAACCTTAAAAATGACAATAAAGAGAAATAAAAGAAATGAGAATTAAAAATGTATAGCTATGAATAAATGAATAGATTGATAAATGAATATATATATAAATAAGTAGAGAAAAAATATAATCAAACAAAAAACCTATAAATAGATAAAAAGCTAACAAACAAACTATTAAAAACAAAGAAAATGGCTCTCTTTACTTTAAACTTTTTACTTTAAATAAATCTAGACATATAATTAAGTAGAAATAAAAAAATCAATCCAATAAACAATTAAAACAACCAAACAAAAACAAACAATCAAAACAACCAAACAAAAACAAATAAACAAATAAAAAAAACAATAAACAAACAACCCAACCATCAAAACAAAGCAAAAAAAAACCCAGGCCACAAATCCCTCGCCGGCAACCCACCTTCTCCGAGAGTCCGTGCACCTTCCTGATCTGCCTCCCGCCGTCGGACGCCGGAGAGCCCGAGATGAAGTGGAACTCGATGTCCGGCCAGTCGTCGGTGTAGTTGGTGAACTTGGTCTTGACGAAGGCGATGCCCTCAACGCCGCCGAGGACAGTGAGGGGACCTGTGGGTGGGGAGAGGGGAGAGTGAGAGAGGTGGAGGAGGGGGAGGTGAGAGAGAATGAGAGAGGTGGGAGGGAGGGGGGTGAGAGGGGAGAATGAGAGAGGTGAGAGAGGTGGGAGGGAGATGAGAGGGGAGAATGAGAGAGGTGGAGAGGGAGGGGGGGGGTGAGAGGGGAGAATGAGAGAGGTGGGAGGGGGGTGAGAGAGGGAGATGAGAGAGGTGGAGGGGGTGCGTGAAAGGGGTGGGGTTGGGAGAAGAGGAGAGGGGAGAAGGAGAGATGGGAGGGAGGGGGTGAGAGGGGGTGGGGTTGGAGAAAATGAGGGGGGAGATTGAGAGAGATGGGAAGGGGGGTGAGACGGGGGGGGGGAAGAGGAGAAGAACTGAGAGAATGGGAGGGGTGGGTGAGAGCTGAGAGAAGTGGGAGGGGGGTGAGAGGGGTTGTGAGGATGGGAGGGGGTGGTGAGAGAGGGGAAGGGGGTTGGAAGAAAGGGAGAAAGGAGAGAGGGGAAAAGGAGAGGGGAGAGGGATTGTGAGATAGGAAGGAGATGTGAGAGGGGGGGGGGGGGGTTGAAGAAAGAGGAAAGGAGGAACATAGTGAGACGAAAGAAGGAAGTGAGAGAAGAAGTTAGAAGAAAGCGGAAAAGGAGATTAAGTGAAAAAGAGGGAAAATGAGAGGGAGTGAGATTTGAAAAGAAAATGGAGGGGAAATAGTGAGATTAGAGGCGGCAATAAGAGGAAGTGAGAGAGTAAAAATCTTGAACGAGGGGAGACAGTTGGGAAGATCTGAAAGAAAATAAGAAAGAGAGGGAGAGAGAAATGGTGAGATTAGAGAGGGAAATGAGATGTAAAATTCGAGAAAAAAAATAAGAATAGAGGAAGGGAGATTGAGAGATTAGCGAAATGAGAGGGAGAGAGAAAGAAGGGGGGGAGGGAGGAGAATGGGAAGAAGGGTAAGAAGATCGAAAGAAAAGGCAGTTCAGAAGGAGAGGGGAAGGGAGATAGGGAGATTAAAAGAGGAATTGAGGGAGGGAGAGGGAAGAGGGAAGAGGAAAGAGGGAGAAAGAGAAGGAGAAGGAGGAGGAGTTTTGAAGTGAGGAGTATTATTACCATACACCACTCACCTATAATTTATCAAGAGAGATTTAACACGGGTCGCCCTCCCCCGGGCGAGCGGTGACCTCGGAAATCACTCCCTCCCCCCCTCTCCCTCACTCCCCCCTCTCCCCTCACTCCCCACCCTCTTCTCCCCCCCCTCTCCCTCCAACTCCCCACCCTCATTTAACCCCCTACAAGTTCACTCCTTACTACTCCAATTACCCTATTCC